ATCTTGAATAACTGTACATCGAACGTTGTAATACGCGTAATGGAGTGAGATCTCTTCGTTGTGGATCGTAAATAAAATTATAACCCGGTGGATGTATTTTTCGGGGGGTATATTTTTGTCGATAAAAATTTACTGCTCTCGTGCTGTGAAATCCTGAGAGGCGGAGATGATTATTCAGGGGAGTCAGGATTTCTTACACTTGAAAATTTTCGGATCGGCGGGAGAAAATTGATATTACATTTTTTTTCTGGATTAATTCAGGCAATTTAGTAAGTTAATTTCTGGGAAAAACACCTTGTTTTAACGGGATTATAATTTTTCGTGGGACTTTAGGGTTTAATTTTCATAATGAAAATATTTTTTAAAGTAATTATCGAGAGACTTCTGGCATTCGTTACGCATTTCGGTGCTTTATTTTCCAAGAAAGTGTAACGGGAAAAAAGGGGCAACGATTCCTCGAACCTATATGTATGTATCCGGAGTATCAGAATTTTCAATAATTATTTAAATACTTGTCCCAGGGAATGTAATTTTTTCCAAAACGAAGAGCCCTCGAGACTAATTAAAACAATGGACCAGTTTAATTACAATCGTCCGACTTGAAAGTTCTGAACATCCGAAATGAGACCTTTGAAACCCATCAATCCTCACTCCAATTTTTTATAAGTCCCAGAATAAATTGATTTATTTAATTAATTCTCCGTCGACAATTCGCGCAAAAAGAAATTCACCGGTTTTCCACGACGACGTGCAATCCAGAAAGATAAAATTACCTAACGACATAAAATCAATGCGAGATTGTTACCGCCATATACCATCCGCAACGTATAATCCAAGACGAGTCATAAATCTCAATCGTTTTATTTATAATTTGCCTCCTAATTACGACAGAAGCCGGCGGTTTACTTGGGTATAGGTTGAACATCACAAACGACGTCTCATTGTGTTTAGTGTTTTTCCCTTTCTTCATATGTTTAGAAATAAATGAACGAACGAGTTTTACACGACGATAAAATAACCGAAGAGATCCCTGAAGGTAGAAGCCCGAGGAAACCGTCTTCGACACGAAATTTACAATCCCTTTTCAAGTAACATCCCGGGGAGATACCCACAAACCCCCGAGTCTGTGAAATTTGCATTGTACATCCTCTTTCTTTTTACCCCCCTGTCTTACGTTTAGCTTCATAATATTTTTTACTTATTCTTTATGGTTCTTTTGTTTTATTTCATTGTAAATTTATGCCTGGGGAGAGCATCGACCCAACGGGAAAACTATTTCCAGTGCACGCATACAGGGCATTACGAATTTTCTCAGGGCGAGAAATCAATTCGACTCGCGAGACCGAGAATGCGAGTGTACACTAGAATTTCAAAGTAGTTATTGTACTTTTCGAGATGAGAAAAAATTGCAATTGTGAAACAAGTGGTGACCTTGTCTAAGACGACTTGGATATTAATAGATTCAACGCGGAGGAATAAAATTACCAGAAGAATTATCAGGAAGCTAAGTAATTGTGGAATGTCATCACGTTTTCTACGAGGAAAAAATGTCCAATCAGATGATGAAAAAATACCTGATTTGCCATTTTTGTAAAAGAGAAAATGAGGCAAGATGAGCCATCATTTGTAATCATCGTGAGCTCCGCATAATTTTTCCGGGACGATGGATGCTTTATCCGGTATTTTCTCATTTTTATCGAGAGGAGTGAATGGATCAGCGCAAAATGACGTGAAATCGATGTGTGAAAGTAACGAGTTGTTGATCGTTACGCGTGTACGGTTAGATGACCTGTGACATTTTAATGTAAATCCGAAAAGAAATTATTTTCACTGGGATATCGGCAGCATAATGACAGAAGAGTCTAAGCCCCGGAAAATGTTTTTAAATGAGAAATTAAATGAGAAATTAAATGAGAAATTGAATTAGGAGTTAAATTAGGAATTAAATTAGGAATTAAGTGTTGAATGTCTAGTTTTATTTGGAGGGAATGCCTTGGGGCTAATGACAAATTGACACGCGAGAATTTCCGACAGGGGGTGGGAATTTAGCTGATGGGGATGTTAAGGTATCCACTGGAGGGAAGTGGAAGAGGAAGAGGACAGTTTTCACTCCACGAGAGGCTGAAATTTTCTTGAGCAAACAAGTGGTCGTGCACTGGCTAGTCCTCCACGGAGTCGACAAGTGTGGGATATTTTATTTAACCAGTGCCAAGTGTTCTCTGGCGTTGAAACAATATTATGCTGGGAGATTTTTCATTCAGAAGCAGGCAGAGTACTTCCTGTACGAGAAAAAGTATCGCGTGGGTTGAGCCCAAGAATCGTATATCACTGTTCAAATTTTTATCTGAATTTACCGAATTTTATTCACGCAAAATTTTCATCGTGCAATTCCTCTGAAATTTTAGAATGTCTAAACACCAAATTAAATTGAGAATATTGTGGATTAATCAGAGTTTTTATTCTTTAATTTAGTATTAATAAGGATCGGATAGAGATGATTAATGATTTTATTAAGGAGGAAATAACGAGGGATCAACGAACTTTCTTCATTCGTTATTTCATTTTCCGTCATTTAATAATTTAGAGGACAACCGGGTGTTACTCTTGAGCAACTGCATATGCGTGATGATTTTTACGAAGTAGACAGCAAACTAGTAATATAACGATTGCTCCATGTTGCCATGTGCGTGCCACTGACTATTCCATTTCAAAATAATCTATTGAGCCGATTTCCGAAGCCGTTTCGCCGAAAAATCCGCCAAAACGAATCCCCCAAGTGTGAATCCAAGAGGAACTCCAGAATTCCGTGGAATTTCAGGTGAAATAAAAAATGAGAATTGATTCACGCGGTCAGAAGCCCGTAATCCCTTATATTTCACGTCCCACCGGTCAGAGATATTTATGGAGACTAGATGTACGACAATAAGGTTCGTTAACAAACGCCCATGCACTTAGAGTTTGCACTGGAGAAACCTAGTCCTTGCAGGTGGAATATTGCGTGTTTATTCAAATGGTGTTGTGTTATTTTAACAGACAGAAGCGCAAGCGTTGAATTATTTATGACAAAAGTCAGAGTCGATGATTCGGATGTCGAAATCGTCACTCAGTAGAATATTTCAATAAAATCCACAAAAACGGCGATAACTTGCAATTTTTTTTCAATTTAATTACCAAAGAAAGAGATATTGTTTATGGAATTATCCACTTGTTCATTCATTGTTTATTTTCTGTGTGATATTTTGTCTTGGGTTGAGAGATCTCGGAGATTATTACAAGAGCCAACATTCAGGGGAATTTCCATTCTATTCTCTCCTGTTTCAGTTATCTATGACCTCATTCAGCGCAAGGGTAGAGTGAAAAAAGGAGAAAAACAATAAACAATGGGAGGCCCGGTAAAGGTCAGGTGTTTTATTGATTTTTTTTTTTTGCGAGAAGTCGAGATGTCGGAAATCAATCATGAGATGGTACGAGTGCTCTCTTGCAGAATCACTGACCGAGACATGAAGAGATACTAAAGGATTCACCAAACGTTCATCATAATGCAATTAGTGTAAACGTGCGTTGGTGTATACGGAAAAGGGAAACGGAGTACAGAAAATGGTGGATTGAGAATGAGAATAAAATAAACGGTTGAGACCCTAGAGGTATATCATTTGCATTTGCGCTCCCAAGTTGTACATATCTATAACTCCTGGGGATCTGAAACGCATGGCTGAGTCCAGGGACTTCAGGCCAAAGAAATCAACGGCTGGGGGAGGGATGAATCTGCAGTGGGTTATAACTTATATAAAACTCACTGGTATTACATTATTAATAAACTTGCTACTTCACATCGAAATTTCATTGTTCGTCAAGAAGTTGAAAAGGAATTCGTCAATTGCACTATTTCCGCGTATTTCCGCGTATTTCCGCATTCGCGACAGTATTCTCAGGTAATTGGGTAAAGTTGTCATTTGTCGTAAGTACTTCTCGGGTTAAATTACGATTCCTGGGGAGGATCGGGCTTTTATATTTCAAGAAACAGCCAGGGGGAAGTCCGCGTAAGCTTTGCCGCTTGAATTTCAAGTGGATCAGGGTTTAGCATTCGCCCAACTTGATAATTTCATAAGGACAAGCGAAGCGTAAAGTGCATTTGCCCGCGTAGTTTTCCACTGTCGTCTATATATTTGAAAAACTTTTCCAAACTTTTCTGTCCCTCTTAGTCGTGAGTCTTGAAAATTTCTCACAACTTCTGATATTTCCGTTGAATTTTTAAAGAATTTTTTCTTTTAAACTCCAGAATTTCATATAAATTCCAGTTCAATTGAGAAATTGACTCTAAAGTCAATAAGATTCAATTCCAAATTGATTTTTAAGGAATTATGATCCAAAAAAATCATGTAATTGATGGAAAATGTTTAATTTTTGTTTTTAAATCGAGTTGAAGATATCTTTACAAAAAATTACGGGAAAAATACAGTGACAAAAGTGGATCGGGGTAACATGAGTGTTTTGGAACGAGTTCAAGTGTTTCATATCGACGGGTATCGAGTGCCCGGAAACCGACACGCGTCGGAACTCCGATAACGATATTTAATGTCCCCTGGTGCACCGGGTCATCGGGATCGGGTTAAAAGCTCGAGGACTAACGTATAAATACACCGAGAAACGTGCATTACCCCGCGTCCTATTCTGTTCACGATCAATAAATAATTTATCTCCCATGAATTACAATCACCGGTCTAGCCTCCCGATCCACATTGTCCAGAAAGTCACGCGAAATTTATAATCGGATATAAATACCCGCGAATATTTTTCAAATGCTAATAATCGATAAACCCTGACGATCGGTATTATCTATTCATTCGTAAATCAAGAGACCTATTCCTCTCGCTGACGTTGTCCTTGCAGAACATCGTAATAATTTTCCTCGTGTCTAGGAATATGAAAATCAACAGGTGTATCGACGCGCGCGCACATCTCCCTTCACCGATAATTATCCCAATAAATAATCGACATACCATCATTGATGCACTGCTAATTCCAGAGGTCTATCGTCATCACTTAGAACTCACAATGTCATAATAGCAACACTCCAAGTTTCACTCAATTAAAAAAAAAACTCACTGTCACTTCACCCACTCGTTCATTCAACCGGTAACGATTGCTTCAGCTGCGCGATTCACAGGTTAAATTTCAAATTTTCTTGAATTTTCCGGATGATCTCAGGCCGTGAAAATGAGATTATTCGCCCGATCGATTGGAACTCCGAGGACTGGAACTCCGAATTTTTTGGAGATCTTCCAGAGGTGTACTGCACCTGGTGCGATAAATCGGTAGTTATTTATGTTATTTAATTTGCTCATGTGGAGGAAGATCGGCAGGAGAAACGAACGGATTTTCAACCTGGCGAACAACGACTGAACTCACAAACGGGCAGGTAGGTGAGCTCTTGGTGCCCCACCACAATTCAAAACTTGTACGCCAGCCGCTCGCCAGTTTGCCTTCTCTTTTTCCACCGAGTTCACGTCAACCTTTTTCTCTCACTCTATCGTTTCTCATCTCATTTCTTTACACACCTTCGCACTACCCGACCTGTTTGACCGATCTTGGGGTCCTCGAATTACCGCAACTGGGGACAGAAATTCGATATCAATTTTTTCTTTTTTATTGTTTTTTTTTCTTCGAGGGGGAAAGTCAAGTGGAAATAATATCCCAAATTGTTACCTGTTACCGGTTTTTTTAGAATAAGTTTTCAGTCGAGTTGTTTCTACTTCCGTAATTTCCGGGAAGGGGTGCCGATGCAGAGGCCACAATTTTTGGGGGAATTGTAATATTGAGTAATTTCTCATGATAAGTTAAGTAAAAAATACTTTTTTCACTTTAACGCTTCAATTTTTATATTTTAATTATAATATTAGGTTTAAAAATTACGTACGATAAATTTTGATTTTGCCGGTCGTTTTCTGATTATCGGAAAAATATTACTGCTATTAATATTAATTTTTGTTAATGTTATTACTTAGCGTTTCATAATATAAATAAACAGTTCCAGTTTTCTGAAATGTCCCTGGATTTTGGATGGAGTTGGAAATTCAATAAAAAATATTCGAATTATTGCTGGTTTGGTTTTTATTGATGTTGTAAGCGATTACTAAGCTAAACGCGAATCGATGCCTCATCCTCATCGTCTGAGTCATCACTTTCGTCATCGGGCTTCTTTGATTTCTCGAGGTATTGCTCAAAGTTGATTTTCAGTTTTTCAGGCGATGCCGCACACGTTAGACACGTTCTGAGAACAGAAGATAAATTCGAGGTTTGTGGGATTAAAATTTTCGATTCAGTGGGATTTATAGTGAGGAATGGATTTTACCTCCATATGAATGGGCCATCACGTTTGGGTTTCATTTTATTGACGTCTTGAATTACCGCTTTGAAGTTCTCTTCAAGGTCTTTGTGGTCCATTGGAAGCTGTGGGAATTAGCAGTTGTAATGAAAAATTCTGAACGTATTCGCTATTTCTAGAGGTTTTTATGAGGTTTTACGTACTCGGCCGATAGGAACGGTTATTGTGGCGAATTTGATTTGCCTCTCGTGAGAAATGGCACTGTATTTGATACCATGAAGAATTTTTCGGATCATCGCTGGTAAATGCAGTCCCAGGGTGCCTTAAAAAATCGCCATTTCTTACATTTCACTTCGATTTGTACAAAAATATTTAATTCAGCAGAAATTATCGAGAGGTGGTGTTCCTTATGCTCTTTAGAGATGAATTGTCTTTAATTACCTGCACGAGGGTTGGGATATTTTCTCTTCAACAATCCCCTGATGACAGAGAGCTCAGTGATGATATCAGGATGAGCAACAAAACTGTGGAAATCATCTACAGCTATTTCTCCTGACTGCACAAATAAAAATTGCAATTTCATTTCAAAAGAAATTCATATTGGACTTCTTTCATTAATTAATTATGTTAAGCACCTGAATTTTAGCTATGAGCTCAGTACTGCCAGTTAACACGGCTCCAGCCTTATCCGCTAGCTCCAATATTTCTGGAGTCTTAGAAAAAGCTACAACTGTTCGATGTTCCCCATGATCGAAAGGACGAGGAATGTCCACTGTACGTGAAAATGGCTCAACTGTTTTCTGATCGGTAACTCCCTAGAGAGATAAATCATCAGACAAAAATATTGCTCTGTCATTTTTTGGTAGTGAATTATCCTGTGGAAATTAATTGTTCATGATTAATGTGAATATTTACAGTCATATCGAGTTCAATGAATGCATTGACAAAAGCATTTGGCAAATTATAAGACGTTGGATGATGAGTTTCCCTGTGACACTGCAGTGCCTCCTCGAATGAGAAAATTTTCAATTGGTGGTATTTCTGCAGCCATACGTCATCTGTTGTTGTTTTCTTCGCACTGTCATCTCGTTTCAACAGATTCAAGGATAAAATCTCTCTGAAAAATTGAAAATAGGGAATAAACATATATAAAGATTGTAAAAAAAATAATAACTTATTTTTGTTTTGCAAGAGTGAATAGTATTTTGAAGCGATACTTGCGATTTTTTGACGCGTAAATTAGGCTGAATCCACCCAATTTTTTGCACCGCAACTTTCTTCTTCTTCTTCAATTTATCCCTTTTCTCTCTGGTGCCTTTACGTGCCGCATATTCACGTACTTGTACCAATGGACACAATAATTGAGTGTACCTGGGGTTAATTCTCGGCTGGAAGACGGCTCCGAGGGCAGAAAATGCTTTTCCTTCGACATAACAGATCCACTTTTATCAGAAAATACAATCAAAACTTAATTCGACATGAAAATTAATTTAGCCCCACGAAAACATTGAGATCATCCCAAAGGTTATGTCACACCCACATCATCAAAGTAAACTCATTTCCTCCCCCAAAAATATCTCTTCAAGTACCAAAAAATAATTAATTGCAAAAAATTCCACATTGATAATACGTCAGTCTGTATTTAATGCTGAAACTAACATTTTAATCTTCACTTACCTGCAGTGGTAGCCGCCATGTTCACACGACAGGCAGACGAGAAACGAGAAAAATCGAGATTTTCACTCGATTAGTCAGCTCCCGATTAATCGATTTTTCGGGAGTTACTCTTTGTTTGCGAAAAAAATAGGACAGCAGAATTAAAAATCCTGAAAAAAAGTAATTAGTTTGCGATGAAGGTTGTTATTAAAGAAAAATTAAGGAACATTGTAAAGAACAAACAGGATTGACTGAAGTAGAGGCCCAGTTCTGAGGGTTTGAGAGACTCCAGCGGCATTGTAGTACTGCACCCCAAGAGAGGGAGGGCGCCACACGGAATGAAAATCGAGAAGGTATTCACTGAAATTGAAAAATTCGAAATTTTTCGAAACGTATCAGGGGAGCATGAAAATGGAGGAGGTATTCACTGAAATTTGAAAATTCGAAATTTTTGAAAAAGTATCAGGAGAACATGCAAATCGACGAGGTATTCACTGAAATTTGAAAAATTCGAAATTTTCAAAAAAGTATCAGGGGAGCATGAAAAACGAAAAGGTATTCACCGAAATGTGAAAATTCAAAATTTTCATAAAAGCATCAGACGAGCACGAGAATCGACGCGGTATTCACTGAAATTGAAAAATTTTTAATTTTCAGAAAATAAAATTCACTCAGTCGACCGGTCCCTCTGACAGCGGGACTGCTACTGAGGCGGTTACCGAGTCGGCTGACGGGTAGACCCCCCACCATTGGGTGCGGCCCCCTCTTTCTCTTGGGGTGTGGTACTGCCCAATAACTGAGCTGCTTAGTGGGGGTTTGAGTGACCCCACCGACAATGTAGTACCCCACCCCAAGAGAAAGAGGGGGCCGCACCCAATGGTGGGGGTCTGCCCGTCAGCCGACTCGGTAACCGCCTCAGTAGCAGTCCCGCTGTGAGAGGGACCGGTCGACTGAGCGAATTTTATTTTCTGAAAATTAAAAATTTTTCAATTTCAGTGAATACCGCGTCGATTCTCGTGCTCGTCTGATGCTTTTATGAAAATTTTGAATTTTCACATTTCGGTGAATACCTTTTCGTTTTTCATGCTCCCCTGATACTTTTTTGAAAATTTCGAATTTTTCAAATTTCAGTGAATACCTCTTCGATTTTTATGCTCCCCTGATACTTTTCCAAAAATTACGAATTTTCAAATTTCAGTGGATACCTCCTCGATTTTCATGCTCCGGTGATATTTTTTCAAAAAATTTTGAATTTTTCAATTTCAGTGAATACCTCTTCGATTTTTATGCTCCCCTGATACTTTTTCAAAAATTACGAATTTTCAAATTTCAGTGGATACCTCCTCGATTTTCATGCTCCTGTGATCCTTTTTCAAAAATTTCGAATTTTCAAATTTCATTGAATACCTGCTCGATCTGCATGCTCCTCTCATGCTTTTTCGAAAATTTTGGAATTTTTCAATTTCAGTGAGTGCCTATTTCGTAGCGCAGAAAATAACATCCTCCCTGTTGACTGGTCGACTGAGGCAGTTACCGAATCGTCTGACGGCCGACAACCCAGCATTGCGTGTGGCGCCTTCTCTCTGTTATGGTGAGGTACTACAATGCTTGAGTGGTCACTCAAACCCCCAGAACTGAGCCTCTCCTTTAGTCAATTCTCTCTGGTTTAGATCTCGCGTTATTTCATCGAAAATCCGCAGGCCAATGGCGAATCATATATCTGTATAATGCATGAAACACAGTGAAGTTGATAAATGGAGTCTCAGTGTTTGTCAAGTTAGTTTTGTTTACGCGACGGAAGAGATTTTTTTTTTCACTCGGAACCCAAAAGCACTCTATACGTCTTGTGTATGTTGAGAGGTAGATGAAGGTGTGTATTTGGATTAATTTTGATAATAGATGATACCGCCGGTACCATACTGTTGACGTTTGAGAGTTTAATTTTTTTTTTTTATTCTGCACCTAGAGTCAGTGATAATGTGGGGTACTCCAATTCGTTATAAATCGGGTATTTAATCAAAATCTGAATACTTTTTGCACTAATTGCACTGGGGATAATTATTGTGTTGTGGGTATGACATTGAATTGGCATTTGTAGATGATATAACATGATAATATTGCTACAATTGCATATGAATAATTCTATCATAGGTTATGGGTTTCGCGCTCGAAATTTTCATCACTAACTCTTGTTAAAAAGTAGTTTTAGGTGAATTTCCACTCCTTTATTTAGATTATTCAAGTGCTCCATGGGTTAGGGTAATTGTTCTCAGTCAATTTCATTCAGAAATAACATGTGGGTGTGGAATTGATGCGTTTGAGGTTGGTCAGGATTATTTGATTGCTGCTGTGATAATCTGATTGCCCTCAAACATCTCCACAGGTGTTTTCTCAGATGAATGTGCTTCACTGACGCTATTGTGTAACGTTTCAGTGAATGTTCACTCGGAGAAATTTAATGGGGGGTAGGATGGAGCAACCTGGGTACCCTAAATCATGTTCCTTATCTCGGTGACCCTTCCTGATAAGCTGGAGTGACTCCCAGGGGCTGATGCTATCCTCAAACACTCCAGCTCCAGAATAATTCCTGCATGACAAACATCCCGATCCCAATGAGAATCACCGTAGGTCAGTCATCAATCAAATTAATTAACTAATAACCTGGATTATCATGGAGCCCTCGTAGCTTTTCATTATTCATCCTTCAACTCAATCGACCAACAATATCACTAGACTAATCCTCGATTATCTAACAATATCATTGACATTCTCACCAACTCATGTCATTTGTCTGGAGCTGTTATCCAATACTTACTGCTGGCCAATAATACAATGACTTTTCAACAGGATTCAAGATGTCCCGCAATCATAAGGACAAGTATGAAAGCTCAAATCCCCGTCGTATGCACACCATTATGTCCACTGAGGACGCCAACTCTGGCAAGAAATCTTATTGGCCGGAGTTGGAGATAACAGGCAGTATACGAAATTTGAGTCCCAATATATGGCAATTGACTCATTTAACAGCACTATATCTCAATGATAATAGTTTACAAAGGATACCGTCTGAAATAGGACGGTTAGCTCAGTTGAGGGTACTTGATTTAAGTAGTAATAAACTACGCAGCCTGCCTGCTGAACTTGGGGATCTCATCTACCTCAAGTGAGTCATTCATTATTTTTCCAGATTTTTTGATTTTTATTTCATTCAGAATAAAACCTGTTGGGGTAAAGCGAGATAAATCGGATTTCAGTATTTTGGTAAATATTCATTTATCTCTTTTACGACAATTTAATTAGCTGTCATAATTAATTTTTGCTTTTTCACCGTATATCGACCACTTTCGAGATGAATTATTTGATTAATATTTAATAGAAACTGTGAAATTCGATTTGTCTCTGATATTCTGAAATTCTTTAGATAAATTTGAGTTTTAACAGCAGAAAAATAACAATGAAATAAAAGACGATTTTTGATGAAATATCAGGGGATTTGTACGACAATCATTACTGACAATTGATATTTCTGTTTCAGGGAGTTGCTTTTAAATCAGAATTTTCTCCGAGTATTGCCGTACGAATTAGGAAAGCTATTCCAGTTACAATTGCTTGGTCTACATGGGAATCCACTCAATAAGGAGGTGATGGCACTCTACGGCGAGCCATCAGGGACTCACAAGCTGCTGTCCTACATGCTCGACAATTTACAAGGTAAGATTCAGATAATTCAATAGAAAATATCCGAAATTATAAATTCGTGGAATTCCGTGGAATTCCGTGGAATTCCCCACTTCTATGAAGTATCGACTGAAAATCCCAAACGAGTGAAAATCAAAATTTTGATTCGTAATTACCTTACGCGGCTGCGTGCGCTTACGGATAATTAGCATCCGTAATTCTCAGATCGACCCTGAGGATAAAAATCGAACATTGAGCAATAATCGAGTAGTGAACGAGAATCGACTAATTGAAGTCCAAAACACGTGAAAAACCCCTTGCTCGTTTAATGTACGATTTCTGAATTGCCAGTTGAAACAGTTCTCTGTTTTACCAGACTGACGTGATCAGTGCAACAATTTCCGTTAGATGCCCCTCCATGTATCCCACGATTACACGGATACTTCGGAAATTCATTAAACACCGAAAATTAATGAGGGCTCAAATAGCTTGTGAAAATCATAATGAAATATTGAACCGCAAGGGGGCAATCAAAATTTATGAAAGGATTTGCTCTGAATGACGCCGCTATAATGGAATATTGTTTGACTTGTATGTCCTCTACGCAGTGATAATGAGAGTGGACATACAACATTATAATATTTCAATCAACTGTGCACACACGTAGTTCAAAGACTGAATTTAATTTGATTTCTGAAAGAACCAACTCCGAGGTAAAATTAGCAGTGGAATACTGACCTCCCACTGTGGTGCACTTTGAAATTTATTATTTCACTTGTGTACATTCATTGGGAGGGCATGAGGCACATTAATGCCTACATAATTTGATTTCTTTTATCATTCGGGGTCAAGTGGGTGTGCCAAGGCGCAAGCGCCAGTGGGTGGACGTTCGTGATTTTCATGATGTTCTACGGTGAAGTCCTGTGGGGCTTTTGAATGATGCACTGTAGAAGGGCGGTCTTCGCCATTTCCATTGTATTCTTCTCCTTACCCTATTGAATTTTTGCACTTTGTCCCACGACTGCCCCAGAGCCCCTTCTTCGTATCTCTCACTCGTCGTTTACCTCTTCCTCGTGTACACCAAACCATTGTTCCTCTGCCATGACGCGCTCGTCATCCTCGCTGAATTTATCACAGTCGTTTGATCGGTTTGCGAGCATTTATGGTGTTATCTGTAACGAGATCAAATAATTAAATGAAAAGGGGATTAAATGCTGCCCAGTCTGGTGGATTAATGATTCATTGGAGTTCGTAATGAGCAATGTCTTTCATGCTCTACGTGATTGTCTCGGGGAATCACTCAATTATTCGAAACTCTATTTAATTTCCAGGGGTTTATGTAGATTGAGGGTAGAAATGGCTTCGGGTATTCAACTCTGGATTCTCCGTATTGAAGTTAGATGGAAAGTCCATATTATAGTAGTTTATAAGCATTTGGGCTATTATTTTAAGAACATTGACATTAAATCGAATGAATTCTCTTATTTACCATCCCACTTCGAGAATTATTGCTGTTTACTTTGATAAATACAAAGTTCCATAAGCAATATTAAACTTTTTGTTACTTTGAAGTTTGAAATGAAGGTAATGTATCAAGTGACAGACTCGGAGTGACTTTAGAATTTCATATCCGCTTTAGTAAACTTGTCGCTCTGCTGAACCCATCCATACAACCTGTAAGTCCTTTTATTACTTCAATACATGTAACTTGGAATTTTCACGGTTGGAAAGCACGTTTCAAATCTCTTATGGCTGCAAAATCTTGACTATGAACGTGAACGAAAGTTAAGCGGATTAAACGATGGTACAGTGGAAGGGGAGTGATGAGAAAGGGGTTAGGGGTTGGAGACCACAGCCAACAGAGTTTTGTGTAACAAGGGTTTAACATTTTACTGGGTTTTAGAGCTTGACCCATTTTATCACCACAGCAACTCATTTCATGGGTATCAACTGAACTTGCCACTGATAATGAGAATAAACGGTTTTTCATCATGCAAATGATGTGACTTTTTCATTAAAAATCATTCGCATCAGTTTCTCAATGGCTCGTGAATCGTTTATCTCCATTTTTTATTTTTCTGTTTATTGAGCGTTGAGCGAGGCACCCAGAAGATGAGATCGTGATACTGGAAATTGTTGGAGTCGCTCCAAATCTTCGAGACTTCAATTTTTCAGGGCTAGGATGTTTTTTTGGTACGCCCACTGGGGGAAACCCACATTTCTTTGAGGCGGTACTTTAATCTTGGTCAAATATTCAAAGGTTCTTTTTTTTTCTTTCCGTTCAGGAATGGGTAATTGGCCGACTTGTCCTGGTTTCATTACTTAATTTTTTGGGATTATGAGGGGATCTCGGAGTCTATTGATGGAGGATTAATTATTCGCCGGCTTGATGGTTTGCTTTTACTCCTTAGACTAGACCGTTTCACTTATTTATCATTTCTTGATTGATTTATCGGATGTTGCATCTGGCTTCTGGTTCTACATGGGGACAGGTAGAAAGTTACACTCTTTAAATGGAAAATTTATTCCGTTCTGAAATGCTCTCTAGTTTCGTTACCTGCTGATTTCAGATCGTTACGTTCGGTAATTAATTGAATATCCGTCCGAAATGGTGAAATTTTCCATTCGGTGTTCGTCTTTATTAGTTTTTCACTGGCTTTTGATAATAAGTACATGAAGACTTTATTCGGAGTGCGTTCCACAGTCTCAATTATATTTTCCATTCGTTCATTGAACGTTGAGTTTATTCCCGTCAATTATTTAATGATGTTTCCATGGAAATTTGTGGATCTCTCGTTTAAATCTAGCCGACTCGATGCGTTCACCGCCTTATTATGAATTCTGCTTTCATATTCGTTTTTTCGGTTTTTTTTTTCTAATTTTTATTATTTCCCTGGACTAGTTTCTCCAAAGTTCAAGATACGTATAGGATTTTCATCTATTCATCTAACAAATTTCTCGTCCAGTTGCTTCTGTATAGCCTCAGAGGAATTTACTTCATCATCTGTATTCCGTTTTATCCGTTTTAATGGATTTCCCTTTGCCATCTCATTTTAATACCCGAAATTTAATTTTTTATCTGCGAAACTAGATCCAATCTAGAGTATTTTTCACAACTCGTCCTCTTCAATGTATCTCACCTCAATTGTTCGGTTTTTTCTTTCAATCCTTTTTAATCGATTTATTGAAACTTTCAACTTTCTCTCGAAATGCCTCGAGTGAATCGATTATCAACAAATTACCAAGCCAAAATGATTCTTATTTGAGTGATGGCATTGGGGTCACGTATTGCAATTGGTTTTAAACCACGGTGAAAGGTATTTCATCGCTGGTAACATGAGTTGGCAACGTGAAGGCTTCCGGAAAATCGTTTTTCCAGACTTAAATTTCCAGGCGAGCGGTCGAGCCACATGACGCCGAGCAGCTTTTACAAAATTGGTTCTGTACCAACCCGAGACATTATATTTTTTTTTTCCTTTTTTTTCGGCGTTTTTCATACTGCGGCGACGAGAGTACAACGAATGCCGTGTACGCATAGTTGAAAATATAGTTAAATGATAAAAAAAACAGTCGTAACAATCAGGATTGCCCGACATGTACACAGGGATAAACAAATACAGAGGAATAATGATAAAATAAAATTTTAGTCCGACAAATTCATTTTTCTCCGGATAAGAGAATGAAAAAATTAATATTTCACAGAATAATTTTTGCTTCTTTTATTTTGTTCATTGCCTTTGTATTTATATATTCCATTTTCCTCTGGATGTAAGAGAAATATTTTTAGAGTCAAGGAAAAAGCCAATTGGTGGCATCTAACGCTGATTAATTTTCATTAACGCAGAATCGCAGAATCAAGTGGCTTTTTTAAAAAATAAATATTTTTCCTCCCCTGAAAATCGATGATAGAACGCGGAGAAAGCCCGTGCCCCGCTGGTTCAGGTAATTGCTGGTGCGCTATTGATAATTTACAGACCGACGAGTTTACCCCCTGCCTCATAATTGAACACTTGTTTTCTATTCGATTCGTGTTCATAACGTAACGTCAACATCCAATTACGCGCACGATATATTTAATTCTAAGAAAAAAATTGATTGAAATAGCGAGTTGAATTTACGCAAATCGATAGATATTTCGCTCCAGTGTTCCAACACTCAAATACAGTGTAATTATCCATTTTCGTATCGTATTGTTACCCCGGGTAATTAAAATGTTGTTTATTTTCGGTGTATGTTCCACTGAAAAAACGAAAACATATTGAAAAAATTTGTTTATTGTTTTATTCTTGTTTTCGAGGGTATGGGAAAAGGTCATAACGGATTCGTTAGTTTTGGGAGTAATTGAACTAGAAAAGTCGATGGAAATAGAACGAGCAGATCCAATTCCGAATGTATGGAATATCTTGTTCGGGGTCAGGAGATATTTATTCGGTTATAAAAACAAATCTCACGAAATTTCCAATAAATATTTCATTATTTCCATCGTTATCTCGATATTTCCGATATTTTTCGTTGGAATCGTTTAATCGACTCGTGAAATTGTGATTAAAAAAGGAATATCAATCTCGAGAGTTCTCAACAATTATCTCGCATTGGCCCTTCCCCTCGATCCAAATAAATCCCATTCCGCTCTCCAAAATAACCGGAAGAAAAGTTGTAGATAAGTGGCTCAGTGGAAAGTGCGTTTACTTTGTGTCACGTCGAGAGACTCGATATATCGACAACGGTCGGGATTATATCGATATCTCTGTGTCGTTATGTCCCAACTCTATCTCCAATATCATGAAGCTGATTGTTGAACTATTTTCAGCACATGTGCATTGAGCGCATGTGAAAATGTTGAAAAAATAAATCAATGGGATTCACTCCGGATATTCCTCTGACCTCTTCCTCGCAATTATCAACGCGGTAACATGTCAGGCATGAGAATGTAGGCCGTTGGGTGAAAGTGGCCTCGTACACCGAGGCATAAACACTCAGTAGTTTATTTTCAAACAAAACAACTCATTATTCGACAGTTATGCACGCTTTAC